AAAATGACTGCAAAGTTCTTTTGCAATTATAAAATGCTACATCAACACTGAAATAAAAAAAGAAAACCACTCTTGGGTTTATTTAACTAATTCCACGTTGCTAGATAATGGTGTGGTTTCACACTTCAGTAAGAATACCTCTAGAGGCTAGAGGAAACAAAAGGAAAAAAAACCTGCTGTTTTAGGAAGTCTTGGGTATGATCAGATCCCCTGTTTAATCCCACTCCAGTCACACAGAATAATATGAGCCACTTGGCTCAAGTTTTAAGATGCTTCTTTTTTGAGACTATAAGATTAGTAAGAATTCAAGATACACAACTGTGTTAACTGTTTGCTTCAAGCACACCAGTTACAGGAAACAATGAACAGTGCATATCAGAGGGAAAGAAAAGCAATCAATACATAATAGAGAGAAAATGGCTGTTATTAACTACATAATAAGAGGTTAGTTTGATTGAGCTTAGCATGTTGTACTTTTGGTTCAATGCTTTCTGAGGACTGGGCAGGGGGAAGGGAGGAAAGGGAATCAATGTGTTTTCTAAGCCTAGGTTACCTCTGAGTAAACTGTGAAAGATAACTGCATAGTCACTACAAAGGAAAGCTATGAAGATAAAGAACTAAGAAAGCTTTAAATTTTTTAAAAATCCAAGTATAGACACACATATACACACATACCCCTGACTGATTACATTTTTAAATTTCCCTAAAGCCTAGCATAAATGTACGCAATCTACAGATAAGTATCCTGCTTGTGCAACAGGTGTTTCAGAAAAGTTTGGCTGGAGAAAAAAAAGTTGGCAAACTAAATCAAGTCAAACACATTAGGGCAGCATATTATGTAAAAGACTACTTCCTACTAATCCTTTTGACAAACTAAAGATTGTTCGTTATTAAAAGTAATCTTCTTCCATGATATAGAGGGTTCTAGATGCCCAGAGGTATGTACCCTTTAAAACAGGGCTCACCACAGCAACATGCATGCACAAAACTTCATTTGGTCCTGTGCCCTATTTCTCAACCATCAGTGGCTCTGGTTCCTCTCTTCAGGCTCACCCATAATGGCTGGCTGTTCCTGAATTTCCTCTGATTTTAGAACTCAGCCTATATACCTCAACCATGGCAGGGAGCTTTGATCATCCTCCTAAATCCTGACCAGGATTCTCTTTCCCTCTTTTCGGCTTTGCTACTTCTCTGTTGGAAGTGACAGTGTAAAGCAGTCCTGTCCTTTTAGCCTGAGCTGACTTCCCAACCTACCTCTTTTTCCCCTCCCTACTTCTTTCCTACCTCTGCTCAACTTGTTTGTTTCATAAGCCTAGATTTTTATCTACCTTTTTTCAAAGTTGAAATCACCAGGACTTATTTCTAAGGGCTCTTCTACTTGTTCAAAAGAGTGGAAAAAAAATCATTAACATAGAGGAAAACAGCTAATGTACAGCACAGAGGTTCTCAAAGTGTGATACTTCAACCAGCAACATCAGCATCACCTGATAATTTCACAGAAATGAACACTGTCTAGCCACCCCAGGCCAGCTGAATAAAAAACTCTAGAGGTGGGCCCAGTACTCTATATTTTAGTACATCTTCTGGGTGATTTTCATGCACACTGAAGTTTAAGAACCTCTGGATCTGGAAGAAAAGAAGATGCCTGACAAAATGTTTGGATAAAATGAGGCATCTCATTAAACAGAATCAAGTCTATATTATTGACACAGAAGAATATCTAAGATACTCTACATAAAGGAAAAAGCAGTTGTAAAACTATGGGTATAATTTAGCAAAAAACAATTTTGAAAATGTACTTCTACATGGAAAAATGTCTAGAAGGTTACATACTAAACGGTTAACAGTGGCTAACTTGGGGGAGATTTTACTTTTTCTTTATGAATAGCTGTATTTTTAAATCTATAAGCATGTATTATTTTATAATTTAAAAAAATGATTAATCTAGACATCTTCTACTCCTCTCTAGCAAAACTCAAGAGGTAAAAATTAACTCATTTCCCAATAGGCTTCAGTGTCTGGACTAATCAAGCTTTGTGATGCTTTAGGGAATTCTAGAGGAAGTGAGGCAGAGATAGTGCTCAGTCCTCCATGACTCAATCAGTGCTTCTATGTAAAGCCTCTGTGCCAGGAAATGACAGGTCACAAAGTCTAACAGATTTCTGCCCTTCTTAAATAGGCCAACTCAAAAAGGGGATGGTGGGGCTCTGTGGGAAAACAGAACAGACAAAAATTTAAGTGTTGTCTTGGAAGATGCCAATTTATTTCTAGGAAAATCTTCTTTGTTGCAGAAATTATACATTTAAGTGGCCCATTTTTTACCCCCATTCCTGATCTGGCAGTCATTCTGCAATTATCCTTCATCTTCCTTCAAGCTGGCTCCGAGTATATACAGCATATGTTTGTGGTAGACTAAAAAGGGGCTTGAAAATAAAATAGGTTGGTAGTAAATGATCCAGGGCAAAATAAAGAGAGTAAAAAACAGGTGCAGGTAGACACACATACCCAGTCAGGTCCTTACAAATATCCTTTACCTTATGATGCACCAAGGGAAAAGCCTGACACTTCCAGGGATTCCTCTGATGGGACCACTCAGTCCTTTCACTTTCTGGCAAGCTTTCCATCAGAAGCACTACATGCATTCATAAAGGATCCCAAAGCACTTTACCTGTACTATAGTCATAGAGAACACTCAGTGTGATTTGCACACATCCGCTCCCTCTTCACTGCCCTGCTAATTATAAATTTAGTGGAAACAGAATATGGTTGTCTCCTGCAGAACAGGAGTTGCCTCAGAAACCAGAGAAACTTGGCAAGAAAAGCTTTCAGTAACTTTTAATAAGTGGTTCATCCTAACTAAAGGAAAAACTTTTATCATGGGTCCCCCTACTTTGAGCTAGGAAAGTTGATAAATGTTACTCCAATTTTTTTCTGTCTACCAAGATACTCTCTACTTCTAGAACCCTAACTACACCAGAAGACGAGAGATCTTACCAAAGTCCCCAATATTTTCATTGCCATATGAAGAGAAATTTATTTTTGCGGCTGCAGCCACCTTTTGAAGAGCCCACCAGTCTGTGGCTCTGCCACATATTGTGTTTCAATTTAGAAAACTGCAGCACAATGTGATAATGTAGTAGAAAGGAGATAAAATCCAGTGCTTGGTTTGCAGCACGACATAAAACAAAGAGTACAGGCACTGGAGTCAGAGTTTGAATTCCACATCTGTATTACATTAGATTTGAGCAGATGATTCTACCTTTCTAAACCTCAGTGTTCTTATCAATAAATTAGGAATACAATGCTACTTTACAGTGTTGTTAAATAATTAAAAATATTTGAGGGGAGAGCAGGAATGACAAGTTAGCGTTTAATGGGTACAGAATTTCAGTTTGGGATAGTAAAAGAGCTCTAAAGATGGACAGTGGTGATGGTTATACAACCAAGTGTGGCCAGGTGTGGTGGCTCATGCCCATAATCCCAGCACTTTGGGAGACTGAGGAGGGCAGATAGCCTGAGGTCACGAGTTCGAAACCAGCCTGGCCAACATGGTGAAACTCTGTCTCCAGTAAAAATACAAAAAGTTAGCTGAGTGTGGTGGTGTGTGCCTGTAGTCCCAGCCACTCAGGGGGCTGAGGCAGGGAATCACTTGAACCTGGGAGGCGGAGGTTGCAATGAGCTGAGATCATGCCACTGCACTCTAGCCTGGGCACCAGAGTGACACTCCATCTCAAAAAAGCAAAAAACAAAAACAAAAAACCAAAGTGAATGTTACAGTTAATGCCATTGAACTGTACACTCAAAAATGGTTAAAATTTTGTACGTATATTTTAGCACAATTATGTAAGAGTCCTAGCAAAGTGCCTGGCTCTCAGTAGATACTCAAGAAATGTTAGTACCATTCCTGTTAAAAACAAAACAAAACAAAACAAAACAAAAAAAACCTACAGTAAAATGAAATCATGCTCCTTTCCCTATTTAACGGTGAGAAACTTTGATTCTAAGGCAAAGCCAGCTGGCACCAATACCAGGTAGTGCCACAGTAAGTGTCTAGGTAGGAAAGAGAAGGAAGTCTATGTTAGTCATAGTCCCTCCAGCATGTTCAGTTCCCAGTTTACCTGCACCCCATTATGGTGTCTCCCAGAATATCAATCCGGTAGACCCCGATATATCAAAAAAAAAAAAAAAACCAAAAAAAAGTTGGGACACTTAAAACAGTTGCCAAACCAGACTACAGGTCATAAGGAAAAAAGTATTCTGAGTGGCAGCTGGCTCCTGGAAGCAGTGGAGAGATAAGACGTTAGTGCTGAACACCAACTAAATGAGTCTGGATCCTATGCCAGTCCCTGGCATTAAGATGACCTGTATCTCTCGGCCGGGCGCAGTGGCTCACATCTGTAGTCCCAGCACTTTGGGAGGCTGAGGCAAGCAGATCACAAGGTCAGGAGTTCCAGACTAGCCTGACCAACATGGTGAAACCCCGTCTCTACTAAAAATACAAAAATGAGCAGGGCATGGTGGTGCACACCTGTAATCCCAGTTAACTCGGGAGGCCGAGGCAGGAGAATGGCTTGGACCCAGGAGGCAGAGGTTGCAGTGAGTCAAGATTGCGCCACTGCACTCCAGTCTGGGCAGCAGAGCGAGACTCTATCTCAAGAAAAAAAAAAAAGATCTGTATTTCTCTCAGACGCCTTTGGCTGCATTTAATGGACACAGAGGACCAAAGATTCAAAGACTCCCAGTAAAGGAGGATTAAAAATGAACTTGTCTGCAGTTCAGGGAAAGCAATTAATGATTATGTGTTGTAAGTCATAAAATAGAGAAGGGGAAAAATAGATGACTTATCTCTAGGCATATCAGAACACTGTTTCTGATGGGCAGGCTTAATTAAATCTTAATGCAATGTTCAGAGAGATGATCATCAACACCCCACAATTTTAGCTCAAGGAGAATGAAATGCTTGGGGTACCAACACCCAATCAATTCCAAACAATACTTACTTTAGGGTCTGAGCTCTTGAACTTCAACCTTTCCACCAATTCGATCATAGCCGCCTTCAGTCCACCTGAGTCTTTGCTCTAGAAGGAAGAAAAGTGAGGGGTCACTAGACAGTATTTTGTTGCTCTCTCAAACACAAACAGCATTTTGGAGGACAATGAAATAAAAAGCAACTTTTTCTTAGCAGCCAAGAGAGCTAAACAACTAAGGAGAGGTGCATTGTCCCTCTTTCCCTTCTCTATGGACAAACAGTGTCAGGACATAAACTGCCCAGTGACTGGCAGAACTATATGGAATGAAAATTAAATACAATTTGTATAGGCTGACTCACTGCTTCACCTCAGGCTCAACTGTGCCAGTGTTCACTGTGCCTCTACAAAAGACAGTCCCATACAAGATGTCTATTTTACAGACTAGTAATTTTAATTTTGAACCTTTATGCATCAGATACAGAAGTATGCAATATTAAATATACTTATAAAAATAAAACAAATAGTCTGAAATTTAATTACGAATGGAACTCCAGTGTGCTGATTAAGAACACAGGTTTTTTAACTGGGTGTGGTAGCTTGCACCCGTTATTTCAGCTACTCAGGAGGCTGAGGCAGGAGCACTGCTTGAGGCCAGGAGTTCAAGACCAAAAAAACCACAAAACTCATGGGTTTCCGAGTCAGACATATACAGTTCCAATTTTGGATTTGCCATTAACTAGTTGATTGATTTCAGGCAAATTACTAAATTTCTCAAAACCTTCTCCCCCTTCTATAAAATAGTGATAATAAACTGGGCTATTTTGGGGCCTAACTGAAAGTGTTTTAAAAGGTATTAGCACAGTATGTGGCTCACACACAGTGAGTGCTCAAAAATTTCACATGCTATTACTATTATTACAGTATAATGATTTAGAGTCGCACAGTACAATAAAAGACTAATGTGAGCCCCAAATGCAAGCGTATGTAATTTCATAATTGCCACAATTAAAAAGTAAAATTGATTTTGATATATTTTACTTAACTCAGTATATTCAAAATATCATTACAACATGTAATTTCAACATGAGATTTTTTTTTCATGTTAGGTCTTTGAAATCTAGTATTTCACAATCATAGCCCAATCAATTTAAACCAGCTACATTACAAGTGCTCCAAAGCCACATGTGACTAGTGACTACTATATTGGTCAGTACAGATTTAGAGCACAGACTACAGCCCTAGTGCCATTAGTCACACACTAGCTGTGTGACCTTAGGCAAGTTACTTAGCCTATGTCTCAATTTCTCTATCTGTAAAACAGAGCCAATAACAGTATCTATTTCATAGGACTATAGTAAGATTAAATTAGTTAATGTATGTCAATGTACTCAGAACAGAGCCTGGCACATGGTAAATACAAAAGGAAGTATGAAACAGTTTTACTATCTGTCTCCCTCATGATATTTTCAGTTCCTTAAGGGTAAGAACCGTAATTTTTTTATATCTCTGTATCTCTTACGCCCAACATCTAGATGTTGTAAAAAGTCTGAACAAATCAATGAATGAACATATAATCTTAACACATGAATGCCATAATAATAATACATTATATTGTATATAGGACAATCTAAAATCACAGGAATTCATTTATTTTCTTATCTCAACAATTCTATGAGATAGGTAGGAACATTCATTTTACTAATGAGGGAAAGGAAGCACAAAGAGGTAAAATCACTGTCATTTCTATGCGGTAGGGACAACAAAGAAGCACAAGAAAAGACAGACACTGCAAATATCTCTTACTCAAAATTGGCCTCTGGATCCGTGATAACATGTCTTCCAAATTTACAGAACTAATTTCAATTCCTCCAAAACAGGAAATACCTAATAAGATTCCACTATATAAATTAAAATATACTAAAGGCTCAATTTTTCCCCCCTGACCTCTCTTGCCTCTCAAGTCTACACAGTAAAAATCAGACACAACATGACTACAACCAATATCTACTTTAGATGTGTTCTTCAAACACAGCTTAGATCATATTTCCATCTTAGCAGAGGTTCTAAATTTTAGTAAGTTCTATTTTTTAAAGTGATGGTTTACAACTCCCCTATATCCTCCACTAATTTTAGTCTTTAATCTCTGTGGTCTCATAGCAGACAGTAGAGAAAAGGAACTTAGAGGTCATATGCCAGGGAGCAGGTGAGACCTGAAGTGCCTAAAAAAGGGTTAAGTTGCCAGACACAATCCTGCTTTTACGAGATGATCAGACAATAAAGCCTGTCTGGTGATATCATTCCTCTAACCTGCTTCTCATTGGCTGAACAAGCAGGTCACTTGTCCCTGGAAAGCTCTCTTCCCCCACATCCCAGCTGCCAGCGCCCATTTTAAGCTCTTCGGCAATAGCTCTGATATATTATGACTTCCCCCTGGCTCTAGAGAGCAGAAAGGAATGCACCAAACTGTGCCTTAAAACCTTCAGAAAAGAATAAAACGACAATGAAGGAATCCCTAAGAAGCAGACAGCCTGTCTGCAAGCAGATGTGCCTCGTGTGGATGGATAAGGGAACCCTTAGCCTTCTTTCATAAAAATTCAGTGTGTCAGCAGAATCCTTCCTCCTTTTCACAAAGCTTTCACAAAACATCAGCAGCATCACCTAACCAGGCAAGAGACAGAGGAGAGGCAACTTAAGAGAGCCTCCCTTCAGGAAACTCACCTGTTCCACCTCCCCACCTCGCTCTCTGTGAATTATTCAAGATTAACTGGGCTCTATGGTGAACCTGCTATACTCAGTCTCTAAATGAGTGGTGAGAAAACCTTTCCCAAAGGCTTTTTAAAAAATCCACAAAATAAGCAGTTGGTCAGAAGGGAGAGGCTCCTTAGGGCAGACCCGACCCTGACAGCTGCAGAGCTGGGGCAAGAGTCCGAATGGACTCTGGGGCCTTGTGCACAGGTGTTCAAGCTAGCATGTCCAAGCTGAGAATACCCTTCTAGGTCACCCATGATACACATGTGAGACCTAGGGATACATGTATCAGAAACTGGTCCATCTTTAGGCAGATGGACTCAGGAAGAGGCTCTGCAGGCCATGGAAGGTAATTCTTGGGTAGCTAGGTACTTGAAGAGTGGTATGGAAGAGGACAGGCATGGCTACAGGAGGGGTCTTCAAAAGCATGGGACACAGCCCTGCTACTCAGGAGGCTGAGGCAGGAGAATCGCTTGAACCTGGGAGGCAGAGGCTACAGTGAGTCAAGATCACTCCACTGCACTCCAGCCTGGG